GTCGAACGAGCCAAATGGAGACGTTTACGCTCTGCCACGCAGCTGCGTGTGCCAATGGGTCACAGGGCAGACACGAATTTCAAGTCAAGCTAGACCATTCTCAATTCAAAGGTATGGTGGGAGACGGTAGATTTGTATTTTTTATTGTATAGATGACGCTATTTCATACCAGTTAAATAGGTTCAAAATAGGATAAATCAGAAATTAGCTCTTATATCACCCTGAGTGACCTAAGATTACTTAGGCCTTATCCACTCTCAAAATATTTTTTCGCTAACAAGCTAAAATAATCTAGTAATACTCGCAAGTTGCCAATAGTATAAGTAATTCGTGCTGTGAAGATATAAAATTAATAATTGTACTAACCAAAGCGATTATAAAGTAATGAAGTTTGTTCAACCCTATTGAAAAAAGTTAATAATAATTTTAAAATAGTGCAATTTTTTCTCCGTTTCTTAATTTAATATCATGATTATGGATAATAAAAAAGTATAAAAAACCAAAGATTTATTGTAAGCAAGGCAATATAATATCATAACCTATTGCTTGAGCGGTTGTCTGTTAAAAAGTTCCTCTTATGTATCAAGCTTCAAATGTTGTATTCGTTCCCTGGTCAAAGGGTTGCAAAAAGAATATCCTGTTTGCTGGTAAAATAGCGCTTTTATTTTCTTACACAGATCTATAATTAAAATACTTTTATTTCTAGTGAGGTCTTTTATACCGCATGAGATTGATGTCCCTTTGCCCTTTTTCTATATTTCCTCGGCATGTTTAAAAATATGCATAACCGTTTAATCGTGCATCTCAATATCAGTGCCATTTAAAAAAGTGATATCCCCATGTTTGTATCCTTTAATTACATCAAATTTGTTTCGTGTGTAGTCGTTAATCGCTTATATTCACTCACCCATTCTTCCCTTTGTACATATTTACCAGGGGGATTTTATGTAAGTGTCAATATAACTTCCTGCACACATAAAATTATAGGGCGCGACAAGCATCAGCATGTGCATAAAGGGCAACGGATAGTGATAACTGATGCGTTTTCCCACTGCCCTGTAATCTTAAACGCTGTCATATGAATTTTGGCTCGTATTATGTGTGGCCTGGTGTCAATTTATAATTTGTACTAAATTGAACTTCGCCCTATATGAACCCGCATTAATCGCGACATGTCTGTATTTTATTTTAGTGCTAAACAAGTGATTGATTATTGGCAAGATCATAAGTATTTAGTTAGTAGGATGTTCTGTAATATTCTAGAATATTAGGATATTGCAATAATGTCACAATGTGCCAATCTTGAGAAACGTGAATTTTGACAATTTTGTAGATCTTGAAGTTATCCTTAACGATTGAATGAAAACTAAAGTCGATCTAGATCAGCTTAGATGACGCAACGGCCGACAGTTGTATCACTACAATTAAATGACTAAAAGTGCTCATGACATAATTGAAGTTCAATTGGCTTTATTTTTTGAAAGCCTTTCCTATACTTTTATTTAGCAAAGTTTAACTAATGGACCCTACATAAACTTGGAAGACCGAAAATGATTCAAATTCTTACATGTTATCACATCTGATCCTGTATTGGCAATCCTGCGCATAAAAAATTATTGATAATATAAGACAATCACAATGGATAACAACATTCGTCAGAGAAATATCGCGAAAAGATGACGAAATAGAGTTCACATATTTACCACACTCCTTAATGTTACTCTTTTTGGAGCACTTTCATATCCATATTTTGTGTTAAAACCCTGGATGCGAGGGATATTAATGAGCATAGTGAATTATTCAAAGTATTTCTGGTATTGATATTGTAAATGTATCTGCCTTCTAAATTTCCCTATTTTAACGTGAAAACATAAGTCCGACATGTAGGATTCCTTCCTCAGATAATAGTATCTTAAGCGGGATATGAAAATATTATTCCAAAGTATTGTATTTGGGAAGTTCATTTCTAAGTGGAGCATATATAAAAATCCGATTTTGCTTTCAAAATTCAGTATAATGTTAATAGAATCATTTTTGGTATCTTATTTGACTCATGAATATTTGAAATACTGCGAAATTCCATAGATCCTCTGGATTGACTGTAGTTGGTTTGGCAAAAAGGACTTATTAATGGCGTTATTTCCTTAAAAATTCAAAATTCGTAGCTTAACACAGAAGTATTAAGATACATTCAAATAATTTATCCTCTTTCTTATCAAATATCTCCCAAAAACTATTTTATGTCCATCCACTTTCCTATTTTTTAGTTAAGACTTCTTGCACCTCTCGCTCTAGACTATTGTCAGGTTGCCCATGCATTCCCGGCATCTGCTCTATGACATTCAAAGTGCCTACCGATAGAAATGGTCCTGAAGCACCCCCTACAACATCTAACGCGATGTCCAAAAAGCTATCACTAAGACAACATCTGTGCATCGGATTCCTAGGCGGCAAGAAATCAAGCAAAAAGGATAATTTCCATGAAAGTTTTCCTACAATAGATGAGAATAAGCTCTCATCTACGGCTGCTCCTATAGTTGGTCAATTCAATTATGGTGCTCTTAATCATGCCTGCGCTGGCAAAAATGTCAGGCTCACAGACTCTGTTTCAGATGCAAACATGACAACCCGACAAATTCGTGAGCATCGAATGAGGTCGCACCGCATTTTAAATCAAATCGCTCGGGTGTCATGGTCAACAGGCCCCTTACGTAAAAGAAGAAGAGCAGCATTGATGCTAATTGCTGTTGTGACAATCTTTTTCATCTGCTACTTGCCCATTCATCTGTTGCAGATATTCAGGTAGATAAGTACTTTGCATGTCAGTCTTTTGTAGGCAAGCTTATGCACGAAAAGACTCTTAAAACCTCTGAAAGCTGTGAATTAGTGGCGATTTAAAAATATTTTTAAGCATATGAGAACTAGTCAACCTGCCAAATAATTGTGACTGGGTGCAGTCACCCAGTCACAATAGAATAATTCTTTTTCAAAGGTTTTCTTGAAAGAAGGAATATTAGGTGAAATATTATCTCATTTCGCATGGGTTTTCTAGAAAATTAGTTTAAATCTGATGTTAAACATTACTACAATTTATCTCTCTCCATTATCACACAAATTTAGTCGCGCAATAGTCTATTTTGAATGTCTAATTGCTTTTGAAGAAATCAATCCTAGGCTAAATAGGAAAGAGCAAAAGCTAGCTATATTTGATCAATTATTTTTTTTATTTACTGGCTTTTTTATTCTGATACCCTTCTTCCTAGCTGTAAGCAAGCCTCTTAGTAAGCAAATACATGACTATGATTCGCCGGGTCAAAGTTTCTGCTCACATAATTCAGTAATAATAGCTATGCTTTATGTCAAGACGTATCGCTAAATATTTTTTCACTTTGAAATGACAAATGCTTTAGTTATATGATCCCTATCGGAAAGGTTGGCCTAAGTCGAAAATTGGATTACGTTACAAATTACATTCCTCTAATAGATCATATGTTTAGGCTAATCTGAAGCCATCTGATAGCCCCTCAGCTATAATCAGGTTTAATAGGAGCCGCTACTATTTTGTGATGGCATTACATTTGCAATATTAACAACCCTAAAATAAAGCCAAAGCAATGATATTTAGCGATTGCGTATGAATGAAATAAGCTAACTTACAATATTATTTTGGGGCTGTTATTTTTGTACTTACAGAAATACTGTTGGACAGGAGTATTTCAACAAATGCCCCGCGATGGCGCGGTTTGTCATGGCTCTGGCCAAATTTCTACATTTGATTTGCTTCTGCAATTCGGCAATAAACCCACTTATATACAATTTTATGAGCTGTAAGTAAAACTAATTTAATATTTTGAAACACTACTTTTAACTAGTAAAATAGCGTTTGCTAACTGCAATAAACTTAATTTTAAGCAATTTTCATAAAAAATCTTGCAGTTTATGATGTTGCCCAAATCAATTCGGAATAGGGAAGCAGGTATTAACTCTTTTTTACTGCGTAGCATCAATACAAATAGCTAAATTAGATAATAGAATTATTAATTCTTTTTTGAATGAATAAAATAAAATGTATGTTTTTTACAATTAGATCAATTGTGAGAATTTATTCTCCTATTAAAGCAAGAAGGTGGGATTAAAAACATTCATATTTGATCTACAACTTTTTCTTATACGGTGCGAACTGCAGTTCCTTGTATCTTTTTAGGAGCAATCATCTGGTTTGATGGACTTTACTCGAGAGGAAAGTTAAGACATTTTGGATGTGAAATAACATAGGGATACTTTGTTATTTAAAGAAGTTGTATAGTTTATAGAGTATCAGGTACAAATCTTGGAAAGGTGGCCAAGGCTAGAGTCAATAGTAATAAATTGACAAAAGAAATAAATAATCTCATAACTAACTGATTTACATGCTAAAATTTGTATATGAATCTTAAGTTCTTACCAAAATATTAGCACTTGATGTTTTAACTATTCGTTATATTTTAATGGAATAGAGATTCAGACACCTATTTCACGTATACAAATATGTTGTTTCGGTTTCTACATAAAAACTACGATAGACTATATCTTGTTAAGCCGATATGTGATA